TGGTTTTGTGAAAACGATTAGGTGTTGTTACACAATTTACTGATAAGCAGATCTGTGATATTTTGACTGTTAATTCTCTTGTTATTTATTTTATACTATGTGTTATTTCAATTGTTCATATATATTATTATTGCTCGAATTACTGTTAATATCTCTACAATTGTTATTTTTATGTTTGGAAAGAAATAAAAGTCTTTTTCAATGAAAAGTTTTGCTCAGTTTATGTCAGAAAAATGCTAATTGTTCAAGTTTTGGACAATATAACCAAAGTGACTGCAATGTGGCTGTCTAATATCAAATTTCGTCAAATGGACGAGAATAGTTCAGATTTAATTTTGGATCAACTTTGGCCGAGATGAAACTGCAACTCACTCACCAATCATTTCAAAATGCAATCAAACAAATCAATCAGACTGGGCGTGAAGGGATTGATAGCTTGATCGAATTATAACCGATATGAACAATCAAGACGGTCTTTATGTGCCAATCACAACGCAATGGCTTCTTCGGCTTATATAAGGCCAGACGCAAGTCAGATATCAGTAAAGCTTTCAATTCTATACCCTTCAACATATCTTGCAATGGCTCTTTCAAGCACACACGAATTTAAATCACATGAACCGGAATCTCCTAATTTCGTAAGTATTTTAAACCGTTTCTCTGTATGTAATCAAAGCCTGCTCTTTCGAACTCTATGGCGACATCTGCAGATGACTTGTCATCAGAAGGACCGTGTCAAGAGGACTCTTCCAAGTTTCTCTTCCAAGCGTAATCGCCAGCATAAACGTGTCTGATATTCATGGGCATCCCACCTACAATGAAACACGATCTCTTTTTTTATAGTACTTACCATCAACTAAACTGAGCTTCTTCGATGATAACGAAGGCTCCAGTGACAGTGGATTCGGCAGCTCTCCGGAAACATCATCGTACAGGAAGAAAAGTTTTACAACCACAAAATCCAGAAAACGACTGTTTTCCTGCAAGCGGAAAGCAGTTGCCGATGACGAAGATTTCGCAACATCTCCAAAGAAAAGAATGTCGGTAGATAATCAAGACTTTGTCATGAAAGCTCTGGAACGAATGGAAGCATGTGCCCTCGGTTTGATCGGTGACGCCAGCTCTACACACAGCTTGCCAACTATGTCTGGGAAGCATACTGATCTACCAACTATAGATTCGTCAACAATGTCCAGTCTTTTCGACAGTTCTTCAAATTTTACCATTATTGATTGTCGTTATCCATACGAATATCAAGGCGGTCACATTCAAGGTGCTATAAACATCTACACTGAGCAAGGAATCCAAACCTTCATGGAAAGTCGTCTTCATTTCACAAAGAACGATATTTTGATATTCCACTGTGAATTTTCGTCACACAGAGGAGCTAAGCTGTAAGTATTAACTGACTTTAAATTGAGAAGCCTTGAGTTGATATCTTTACAAAGAGAAACAGAGAGCAACAGGCATGTATGTCTTCATTAACAAAATTATCTTTTATTTTACAGAATGAGGTTTCTTCGAAGTATGGATCGCAAACAAAATAGCCACAGATATCCAGAGCTTAACTTTCCCGAAATTTATCTTTTAGACGGAGGATACAAAGCATTTTATCAACACAACAAGGTATGTCTCGTTGTCAAACAGCGTTTTTACCAAAAATATTTATTATCATTTTCCCACAAAAGTAGCAATCGGTCAAGAATGTTTGAAAAACGTCGTGTTTAATTTTCTTTTCTTATCCAGGTTCAATGTAATCCTCAAGCTTACCTACCAATGTTACACGAAGATCACTCAAAAGACTTACGCCATTTTCGTGTCCGATCAAAGTCGTGGACAGCCGGAGAATAGCAAACAAGATCTCGACGAGTCATTCGGTCGCCCTATTAAATTGCTTGGTTTTGTGAAAACGATTAGGTGTTGTTACACAATTTACTGATAAGCAAATCAGTGATATTTTGACTGTTAATTCTCTTGTTATTTATTTTTTACTATGTGTTATTTCAATTGTTCATATATATTATTATTGCTCGAAACTGTTAATATCTCTACAATTTTTATTTTTATGTTTGGAAAGAAATAAAAGTCTTTTTCAATGAAAAGTTTTGCTCAGTTTATGTCAGAAAAATGCTAATTGTTCAAGTTTTGGACAATATAACCAAAGTGACTGAAATGTGGCTGTCTAATATCAAATTTCGTCAAATGGACGAGAATAGTTCAGATTTAATTTTGGATCAACTTTGGCCGAGATGAAACTGCAACTCACTCACCAATCATTTCAAAATGCAATCAAACAAATCAATCAGACTGGGCGTGAAGGGATTGATAGCTTGATCGAATTATAACCGATATGAACAATCAAGACGGTCTTTATGTGCCAATCACAACGCAATGGCTTCTTCGGCTAATATAAGGCCAGACGCAAGTCAGATATGAGTAAAGCTTTCAACTCTATACCCTTCAACATATCTTGCGATGGCTCTTTCAAGCACACACGAATTTAAATCACATGAACCGGAATCTCCTAATTTCGTAAGTATTTAAACCGTTTCTCTGTATGTAATCAAAGCCTGCTCTTTCGAACTCTATGGCGACATCTGCAGATGACTTGTCATCAGAAGGACCGTGTCAAGAGGACTCTTCCAAGTTTCTCTTCCAAGCGTAATCGCCAGCATAAACATGTCTGATATTCATAGGGCATCCCACCTACAATGAAACACGATCTCTTTTTTTATAGTACTTACCATCAACTAAACTGAGCTTCTTCGATGATAACGAAGGCTCCAGTGACAGTGGATTCGGCAGCTCTCCGGAAACATCATCGTACAGGAAGAAAAGTTTTACAACCACAAAATCCAGAAAACGACTGTTTTCCTGCAAGCGGAAAGCAGTTGCCGATGACGAAGATTTCGCAACATCTCCAAAGAAAAGAATGTCAGTAGATAATCAAGACTTTGTCATGAAAGCTCTGGAACGAATGGAAGCATGTGCCCTCGGTTTGATCGGTGACGCCAGCTCTACACACAGCTTGCCAACTATGTCTGGGAAGCATACTGATCTACCAACTATAGATTCGTCAACAATGTCCAGTCTTTTCGACAGTTCTTCAAATTTTACCATTATTGATTGTCGTTATCCATACGAATATCAAGGCGGTCACATTCAAGGTGCTATAAACATCTACACTGAGCAAGGAATCCAAACCTTCATGGAAAGTCGTCTTCATTTCACAAAGAACGATATTTTGATATTCCACTGTGAATTTTCGTCACACAGAGGAGCTAAGCTGTAAGTATTAACTGACTTTAAATTGAGAAGCCTTGA